CGTAGTGCGTCTGTTCATGCGTATCAAGGCATATGTGTACAGCTTCGAACGGACTCATAAAGCGGATACTAATCACTGGGGCGCTTCAGAGTCCGGAACAAAGCAGATATTCCCGTCGTCTTCCTTGTATATCTTAAGTGGTTCAAGTTGGCAACTGTTGGACAACGGCAAACTGATAGAATTAATACTAATAATACACGATGACCTTAATGTAAAGAATTTGTACAAGATTTTCTGTCAAACATTGAAATCTGTCAGCATTATTACCTTTATTCATTTTTGGACTGTGGCAGTAGGAACTGCGATTGTTCGAAAAATCATAGAACCTCATCTCATCGTGAAGACTCAAGCTAAATCACTTAGCTTTTTTTTCTCTTTGAATTTCATGGCGATGAGCGCAGAGCTTTGGGGACCCACCAACCTATGACCGACAAACTACCAGATGCTTACATCGGAATAGAATATTTAGATTAAGTAGCATTTGACAATTCGCCCGTATTGGGAATTAAACGAAGAGGCTCGTATTATTTTTTTTCTTAAAAATATAATTTTTACCATCTGGGTTTACCACCAAGTGAAGCTAATACACAAAAATCACAAAACCCGAGGCATATAACTATGAATATTTTGCTCTCGTTAAATACTAGACTATGATCTGGAATATCAGTAACGTCTATGCAGGTCTCTCCCAGATACGTCTGTCTTTATATAACTATATATAGTAGGCTTTACAACAGGCAATACATACATCCGATCAAGTGGTTTTTTTTGCTGTCTTTTAAGTCATAATGTAGATTTGTCAACTATAAAAAATATTCGAACATCTAGATGACCCCAGTTTTGCATTGAGATCTGCCGCTAGACGGGCAATCCTCAGCACGAAACGCAGCGCTTTGAACCCAAATCACTTTACGTATCCGTAAGTTTAGTGGGCAACCACATACACCCTGTACCATCGCCGGGAAAATACTTCGGTTAGATCGTTACGCAAGACAAAGAGAATTATGAACGTGATCCTGGGCACTCACACTTCACGAACCTATTGTATCTACATTGCATCGATGCATCATGAATGTAAAAAGTCTATGTCATTTTTATGTAGAGCGTAACCTGTTACCCATTTAGTCTACACATGATTCTTTCTATGTTATGTTCATTCTTCAAAATATACGTTACTATTGTATCTTTATTGACTATCCTTTACTAGTCCTCAGAGGCATTCTTATCAGTTACTAAGAAATAACGATGTCTTCGCCGTCTCTGGAGAATTGTTCAATGAAAAATGTACATATTAATTCGGTCTACTTTTTTGCTGTACTAATTCAATAAATGTTGTCCTATTTGACCTACCCGCGTCAGCTTCAGTTTCCACAGACTTCGACTGGCTGCATTAAACCTAACCTCTTCTTCCTACTAAAGCTATCAAGGTAACAGCAGGACTTTTTTTTTTCTTTCAACTCTACCAAGATACAATGCGACGTGCAACGTTCGCGCACCAAATTAACGGTCGATCGCATTTGGAACCGCATTGTCGTGGCTGGGTTAGTATGGACGAAGGCACAATTTTTCTTTCCGCTAATGTTTATTTACCACAAATCAATAGATCGCAATTGACGTCATACCACCGTATGTTAAATCGTTATCGCCTAGCCATTGCATCTTGTCTGCGAGTACGACGACGTACGGCAGAGTAGATAGTTATAGTTATCAACGTAATCCATCACGTCTTACCTTCCAATGCTACAGTAGCCAAGGCACCGGTTTCTACAGTCGTACTGTTGTTATTGAGTACACAAACATATCGTGCGCGAGAATATATTGAAATTGTATTCGTTTCGTGCAATCGCAGCAGTGGACGTTTATATGGTGTGACATTTACAATCGTTAACATCATCACCAGATACGTTTTACCTTCGAATTATCGCAGAACGATGATAAAGTCGACGCCGTCTAGATATGAATTGACTCTCGGGGTGGCGGCCAGCGGACAAGCGTCGTTAAAGCTAGGACAAATATATACAAATTCTGCATTGACAGCCGCGACTTGTGTGAAGCCGGGATCATCGGGATCTCAGAGCAGCTAGTGTCAACCGATCTTTGTGCCCGTAATAATTACCGATAGGCATTTCTTAGCGAAGAATGTACATGCACGTGCACATATGTTCCGTATGTAGCAGCAACATAGTGCGTATATAATTAGTGAATCTCCACAATGGCGGTGGCTGGTTAAAACCGTAGCACATGTACCTGTGATATGCGATTGTCCGGACGCAATGGACCTGACTTTTGGGACGACTAAAAAGGCAGGTCTATACGTCTAACTATCATAGATAGGAATGCAAGACTCGTTCATGGCGGTCATAGGGTTCGTTAAGTCAGTATTTACCACTCAAATATTTTGTGTGGGCGTACGTTGAAGTGGATAGCGCTCAGAGACCCCGTTGCAGAGAAGACTGGTATTGGCAGTGGATATCCTTACTGTCGGACGCCTTAGACTTATATATATATATATGGCAAATAACAAGACGTATGCCCATTTTAGAATACGTGAGCGCAGTGATTCAACTTATTTCAGATTCTTAATCACTGACTTCGCGTAGCCGTAGAGAAAGCTCCGCGTAAATAAAGGAGAGTCAGTATTCGGCTAGGAACAAATGTATTGGGTTTACACTGCTCTTTCCAGAGTCAGTTATATTATCAGAAGTGATCAGAAGGTCTCAAAAACATCGAGTGTCGAAACGCAAATCCTGGTTGAGATTTTTACGCGTCAAGCAATATGCTTCGTGTACTCAGCACGTGGGATTCAGAAGCAGAGCATTAACAAAAAGTATATTTTACGATCTCACTATTTGTAAAAGCATACGTCGTGACACTAAAGTGAGACAATAATAGTTTGGTTCTGTTTCTATAGAACGTTAACTAAATTCATCTCCACGCGAAGGACCAAACGCCTTCGAACAAACTTAAAGGTCTGCAGCTTCGCGCGCGCGCGCGCTCACTTAACAACCCTACTTAGATTTTTTGTCCTGTGCATTGTTGCATTTTGAAGTTGTTTGTACGGCGCCACCTTGAAAACTCTGATGGTGTTAGCTTTGCACAAATTTTCTATATTAAATAAATGGGATGAGGGGTTTACATTATCGAGGCACAAAGGCTGGCTTAGTGAAGTACGAGCGTTTGTACGGCCCTATCAGTCCGTAGCAAGAGTCAATTAATTGGTCGTAGTAATTTCTTTTTTACTCTCTAACTAAATTGTTGAGGCCTAACTTCTCCTGTAAGAGAGCGATAACAATAATAGTTATTATTATTACTTCGTTGGTGACATTGTCATTTGCCTTCTAAGTTAGCGCGGATTTGCGCTCTATAAGAAAAAAAATACATCAGGAAAATGTGTATGACGGCGTCCGGTAGCGGCAAGCGGTCCAGGCAAAAGGCCAATAGCAGTATAATAAGAACAGAAAACACCAGAGATGATATATATATATACATATATATTTTTGCTTGTTGAGTAAGTATTGGCCGTTTTTGAGTCAAAGTGAATATTTTTTCATTTTTGAAAATAATAGGACTAAACTTCCGTGGCTTCTGAAAGAAACATTGTGATTTTTGCGTCCTTCTATCGAAACTAACTTTATTCCATTAAGGATGCTACTGTTATATGGCGCGCATTCATTAAAATTTCCCATCTAAATTGTCTCCATTCTTGTCGGGTAGCTAGCTACACGTGCAGATATGATCTGGCCTTATCAGAAAGAGCACGCTTTTGCTGTTTTAGTTCCGCTCGATTTTTTTTGTGGCTTATTATAGTCTCGATAGAAACTTGAATCAATTATTTTACCAGGCAAGAGCAATTTATGATGCAGGATCCCTTTCCAACCTAGCCAGACAGATAGCATAACCTTCTTTGGAAGTTTGCTACAGACCCTAAGACAAATTCTCCCTTATTTTTTTCATTTGCATATTGTCGTAGGTGATCTGGGTTTCATCACCCGTGATGAACCGCTTTGCAGAAGACTCGACTTCGTTATGTTTGTATAGGTTTCTACGTGCAAAGACGATCGAATAAACTCTTTTGCGTCAATTCATCGCGCAGCGCCCAAACATCGAGGTTTCTTTTGTAACCCGCGTCGTTTAAATCGCTTAAAACTTTAATAAATATATATGAAAGTTTTAATATATATTTACTGTTTCTCTAGCTGGATGGCTTTGAAACTAAATATATCAAGTAATATCGCGTCCGGTCGGTGTTGGTGATGTGCTAAATACGTTGAAATGCCTGTGTCCAGATTTGAGATAGAGCGCTTTAAAAATGAGCGAAATACCGGCTAGATTCGCTATATTTAGCAATTTTATTACGATAAGGCACAAATTTGTGCCGTTTCTGGCCAAGATACGTTGTCGGAAGGCCAAAGATGATTCTGTAACTTTCATTCTGGAAATTTCAATACTCTTCGTAATGATCAATCGATTACGGAAAAAAGTTCGTACAATTATTGTGAAAGTTAATACGGGAGCAGCCGTGATATCGCCGACGAACTAGACAATTCCTATTCATTCATCGGCAAACAGTTCCAAACGATACGAAGTAACTTGGTTCCAAAAAGGGCTCGGTGTTTATGAGTTTAAACAAAAAACAACTTACTCGATCGTATTTGCACCTGCGAAGCTCTACAGGAACGACACGAAACAGAGCCATTTTAAAAGCGATTGATTAATCATAGGTAACGAAAAAAGAAAACATGGCGTAATTATGAAAATAAAAAATGTTTCCACATGATCTACAATTTGTGGCAAAGCCCGTCTGACGTCAAGGAAGATGGTCCGCTCTATTTGCTGGAATTGGAAAGGAATCGTGTTATTATTTTATTATTAATTAATTAAGTAGTTATTTATTATTACTATAAGAAGTGTTCCCGCCTGGCAAAACGATTTATTCGCACCTTCACTATTAACAGCAACTAAGATTACATTAACCCATCGGAAAAAAAAAATGGCCGAAAGTAGAGAATATAAAAGGCGTCATTTGTCACCATGAAAATGTCAAATCATATACGTCCTTGACTACCGCCGTATAGCCCGAATCCAGCACAATCAAACGATCCGTTTTGGTCTTTGCAGAAACCTCCGAATGGTGTTAATTCAGTCTCAATAGGGAAATTCAAAGGCCACTTCCACCCTGGAACCGTAGAAGTTCAACAGTGATGGAACTATGGTATTACTAGACAGATATAGTAGAAGGTCATCATCAGTCAAAATCGTGCATATCTAGTTTCTGGACATTTCGAAATATAAGAAGTGTCTTCTTCAATTTTGGCTTTGAAAAAATCAATGCTCTCTTGACAACAGCAACACGTATGTTTGTGCGTTGTTTTTTTTTTTATTGCAGACTGCAGAGCGTATAATGAGTCATTGTTAGATCTTCAACAAGCAACACTTCTTCTGAAAGAGTCTACTAATTATTATTTACAACATTACATATTACGGACAAACTGCAATAGTCATCGAAGTACTATCCAAATGGCAGGGGAAGATTTGATCTAATTCTGTTTCATTTAGCTGCTGCTCAATCGCCGGATTTGTAACCTACGACTGAACCTAAGTAGTCAAATAAGCTACTTTAGACCGACAAAACAGGGAAACATTCTAGAAATATATTCTATCAGATAATGATAACATTATCAAAAGAGTTTACAAAATATCCTTACAATTACAAACAACTTAGCTAACACAGAGTTGTGGAACGTTTCCTTTTCTTTTCATCGCGTCACTAGGTTTTCGAAAAATTACACCAGAGTAAAATGCTAAAGTTTGCATCGGCCTACACCTAACCTCGGCGATGTTATTAAAATATGGAAATTTCAGAAGAAAATACGCCACCGAGTGTTCTACAACTGGACAGTAAGGAATTTCGGTAGTAAAAATCGTTCGATGTCACAGTCACTCTGCCCACAAGGAGAGGAACAACAGATAAAAAAACAAATCAGATCTTCTTATTCTATGATTCGTTTGTGACTTATAGGTTTGAACGAATCTCGACGCAGGGATTTTCTACAAAATAAGGCTAAATTAGAAATTGAGCAAAGTTCGATGTCGAAGTGTACTTCATTTAATATTAGGCTCTAATATGTGGGTTTGCCCGCTCAATACAACTGAAATATTGCAGCCTTATTAAACTACTGTGTATTTCTTGGTATCTGAAAAAAAAAGAGCTACAATATTCAATGATTTGACCCTGTTCTTGTGCAGCCCAGAGCGTGCTATTGTCCGAAAAACAAATTAGGTCCGTATTTAACACTCGATCAACCGTACGATTTTCGACAAAGCTCATAGCTTGAAAATTAAACTAAAATGAAATTGTTGTCCTAGGGTGACTATTGTTAGTTTTGAGTGAATTTCAATGCCATTATAAATCTATTATGAGTATCCGTTGTTGAATAAACAGTTTTCTTTATTACTTCTAAAAGCAACCAGCAGCGCAGTCATCTATGGGCCTATTCTTCTGGACGAGCTACAACCACCTCATAGCAAAACATGGTCCCGATAGTCGCAGTACTATATTTTATATAAACAGGTTTTTGTTTGTAGCTACTGTGGACGAGTGTCTGAAGCCCGAATGATTAATATTGCCGATTCTATCTGTCTCCTACTTTTTTTTCTTTTGAAAGCTACGGCTTTTCATTCCTTTCCTCTATTTACCATAATCTACTGTGCCGTTATAGTTGCATCTTGTACAACACCATCTGCAGTTGTGCTTTTCTTATAGCTTTCTTTGCTATCTCGTATTTTCTGCGTAAAGATGAATACCTATTACGTATAATATATAATAATAATAATAATAAATGTGCTCAAGTATCACATTGGCAATATCAGCATGGATTTGTATCCGATTCGGTACTGCATTTTTTTGTTGGTCTCCCTATTGCATCTGTCCGAAGTAATGGCTACATTGATTTGGGAGAAAGCATTTTGGAGCGTTTCTTTTTTTCAGCAAATTTCGGCAAGGCGTGCACAGTGACACAGACGAAATACTTTTGGCTTTTATGATTGTGATCATCATTACTGAGACAGCTCGCCACTGCTACGATAATGAAAATAGGTAAAGATTGCCCTAAAGTTCTGTACTGATCATATGCCGAAGCGGGCTCGCGGTCCTGGACAAGGCCGAATGACCTGAATGTGGCGAAGGCGTCAACGGCGTAGTCGGTGAGTAAGGAGAGATTCGGTCAAGCGACGAACATGTCGAAGTTTCCTGCGCTCCTGATGAAGAATCACTCCCAAGCGATCCTGTCCTGCTAACGGAGCGCAGCTCATAGCGAGGCCTTCCAGTAGCATCAACTAGGCGGTGCTGAATCTCCGATGTAACCGATGGCAGTTCTTTCGTTCGACAGAATACACGGATGTCGGTGCGTACTTCATCGAATTTGTGGAGTTGAGCCGCCTGCCGTAAAGCTTCAGCGGCCGTAGCATTATTCTGCCCCGTTGTGTTTGGTGTAACGAGAATGGGCATGGTTGACGCTGGAGCAAACTGGGGCAAGGTTGTTCCGGCAATGTTACTCAGACACGTGCTGCTTGCCGTATTGTCTATTCTAGAGTCAGACTTGGTATCCCCTGTCACCGTTGTCTGATGCAGAGATGCCTGCATTGTCTGTGGAATCAACGACGCTGTAGGCCGTTCATTGCTGCTGACTTGTATCATATTCTTGATCTGCTTGACAAGGGGCGGCCGTTGACTGTCCGCATCTTGCATGTTGTTTCGCGACTCTGGAGCGCGGCTGTTGTTTGCTGGAGTAAGTCTGGGAGCCTGTAGACCACTGACCTCCCGATTTGCCACAGCAGTAGGTGAGATAATGGCGTTCCTGTTGATGATACTGCTACGGCCGCCTTGCTTGTTCTTCTGATGTTGTATTGTGGGCGCCTGTAGCCTTATGGCTGTTGGCACCGGCGTTGGTGTTGCTGGGGTCGAAATATAGCCATTGTTGCCCATCCCTTTGTGATCGGGTTGACTGGTGTTGCTGTTGGTGTTGGGGGTGTTGTTGTCGACAGCGGCTGTAGGTGAGATAAGCAGTGAGGAACTGTCAGCGATGTCGTCCTCGCTGTATGTCGAGGAGTCGCTGGAGGCCAGATCCATGTCCTCAGGATCGGCAAGTTCTGCTACGGTGTGGTTCATGTCAAGAGAATCGTCGCTCCCTCCACAGATACTCTTGTTTACTATATCAGCCTTTTTGCAGCTTTGTGCACTGTCTTTGCTGATATCGTTAGTATTCGCTGTGCTTGCATCCTTTGCTGCTCGCTGTGATTGTCGTCTCGAGAAGCGTTGTGAGGGTCGCCTCTCGAATTGAACCGCGCGACGAGGTCGGGCCCGAGCAGTTGCCTGGAATTCCGTTTTGCCGGAGTAACGGAACCGCGAACCCATTCGAAATAAATTCTGCTTCAGTGCCGATTGCTGTGGAGGCGCTTTTAGGCGGAAGAAGGTGTGATGTTCGATGGCGCATTTCCACAAATGCTTAGCAGCTTTCGGGTTGAACAGGCGAAATACAAAAGTATGCTCTTGTTCGTGTCCGTCATCATCATCTTCGACAACGACTAGAGTGAGCTTTTTACTTTTGAACTCAAGCCGAGTGATCTTTGGCCAGAAAAACAGACCAATCTTGGTCTTACCTTCGAACACAAGTATGCCTGTAGGCGTCAGGCCCAGCGAGTAGCTATAGCCATCCTTGCCGAGCACAGTGTGCATGTCCACCCCGTATAGCTCGAGCCACTTCGCCTTACTCAAATAGCTAAGCTCAGCTTGAGCAGGTGTTTGACCACGAAGCCGGCCAAAGGCTGCAAGTATGTCGAGTTCCATCTGCTCGCTCTGCTCAGGACAGAAACGAAACTCTGAAATAAATTCAGCCGTGTGCGTTTTAACCTCGTAGTCACCCAGCTCTGATTGCAAGGCAAAGCCTGCCAGCTCTACCATCACGTCGTATGGACAGGGCAGTCTACCGTGCAGGACATCCTGTTTGAGCTGAAGGAAGAACAAATACCTCGTAAGCTCTTCACGGAGCAACGTCGGTTCTGGTGAATAGAACTTCACGCGCATATGGAACGTGTATGGTGGACCAACTGTGTGCTGCTTTCGCACCCCTTTCGTTGGATCGAGCCAATGTTGGATGCTGAACGCATCGATGAACTGTAAGCCGAAATAGTCCTTTTCGACCAGGTCAATATTGTAGAATGTTTGTTCAAGCAAAGTTTCCCCAAGCGCCTTCTTCGGTATCTCGATGGCAAGATCAGTTCCATCGAGTAGGATGATTTTGCACAGCAGGTAATGGCCAGTGTCCATTTGTGGCGTTGTGCTCTGCGTGTCAGCTGCCTTCGACCAACGTTTACTAATGTATCGTAGCATATTTCTGCTCATTCTATTGTTTCTACCCAGTCATTTGTAAATTAACACCATCTGGTTGTACTGAAGAGTATATGGCCGACACTTTAAGGTCGTAATTATTCGCATTGCTATCCTTGTCACACACTTTTAAAAATAAGCCAATTTATCCGCTTATTATTTAGCTTTTTACAGCATACTCACATTTAATCCTACTATATATATATATATATCCACACGGTTTATATCCACGATATGTAGCACGGAGGCGCTAGTCAATGCTACACTCCACAATGGAGCCAGAATATCACGTCTCGTTGTCTGTTATTGGTCAATGCGGCACCCAGTGAGGACACACATGTCCCTTCAATCCGATCTACACTGAAAAAGAGACCGCCGCTACTGTTTCTTAATATAAGAATACCGTCAGTGCGCGAACAAGAATAAAGATAATAATAGTAATAGTAATAACAATAACGGTAATTACTTGCTAGAGGTTATTACTAGGAGTTTTCCTCGTGGTAATTCTGCACTGCCGCTGCTGCTGCTGGTAGATTGCCGTCAACAACGGAAATATTAATACAACATCTTCAGTAGCAGTTAGACGTCTGTAACTTGCCAATGTCGCCGCCATCCTCTCATTCCAAGTTTTTGTCACTGCTTCACCTAGCGTAACCACTTATCCTTTCGCGGCCTCTATATCAGACTTCTCAGTTATTTATTTTTTTCATCCACACTTTTGCGGAGCAATTGTATGACAGAGACAACACAGAGATCCGTCTCTGAACTGACATCTATATGTCACTGGTCCTGTTGCTTCCCTTTCTCTCCAGTAGGATTCGAGCAGAGTCCCTAACGGATCCTTCTGTTAAACCTAGCTTGTGACCTATTCTGGCTGCTCGTTTCGTACAGCAAAACCACACATGCACGTTCAGGGACCAAACGATGACAGGCCGGCTATGGAAATGGTGTCCAGATGAGCCTATTATTGCCTTTTCTGCCGCTGTCTTTTTAAGGCTAATGCTCTTTGCGCTGTGTCGCACAGGTCCCGCTGTCGTAGCAGTGGTTGTTGTGGATCTACCTTTTTGCCGTATCCTGCCTCAGGCCGGTCTCTTTTCCTCAGAGGCTCATTTGGCGCTTGAAGCGTCCCCTATGCGTTCAGCTCTACTTCTGATGGTAAGAGGTCGAACGATGATTCCGTTTACGGTATCCAAGGCGCTATCCTTCACCGCGGAAATCGTGTCGTAGACGGTGGTTGTAGTGGGCAAAAAATCCAAACAGCGCAACGTTCTCCTCTGCAAGAAATCTCTGTCTCTCAAACAGACAGAAGCAGAGAGCGACGGAGACTCACTTACTACTCTTACGTCGAATTGCGGTTAGTACACGCGATTGATCGAACGGCCGGCCGACCGATCGACAGACAAACAGGAACGCAACTGAGTAAATGAGCGCTGTAGATATTGTGCGCGTATTAGACAGCCAAATCTTCCGTTGTATAACGTCAGCTTTGTGTTGGCCTATTGCTGACGCTGCGGCCGGGGCTCGCTTTGACGCTATTACGAAGACTGTAACTACCGGTAATCTTCGGCAGCTTTGAGTATGGTGCTGTTACTGACGATACCACTTTTGTCTGGCTGCTTATCGATAACTAATCCAGTGCTATTATTGTCAGTCGTGTACATATAATACGCGACTGGATGGGGCTCCAAACGCTGCTGCTGGTATAGCAAGCTTGTAGCTGGGATGGCGAGGTAAATAAAATAGTGTCAAACTGACTGTTTGTCTGGCTCGCCGTCCATGTGATTGGTTCAGTGCAGGAATGAACAGAACTTTGTAGGGAGGGCTGAATAACTAAGTTACTAGCGACAGGCTACGAAAATGATTGCCCTCCATCACCCAAACGCACTAATGTAGCACTCACCAACTACCGAACGCCAGTGATCCGCCGCCGGCTGTCGAAGGGCGACGACATTTCGTCGATCGGTGTGGACAAGAGCAGCAACTTATAACCAGAAAGGGCCGTATAACGGCGTAAGAGAGGGTGGAAATTGCTTGCGCACTCACTCACTCACTGTCGTTGTTTCGCCTATTGCAGCTACCATTAATACAACCAGTACTGCTGCTCTTGGTGATACGCAAACATACGCACACGGGCACGTATTACGTACCGGGAGGCGCGCTGCAACAGCAAATTCCCATAACGACTCCAGCTAACACTATCGACTGCTGCAGCTGGTAGCAGCTCTCGGTAGACTGCCTCGTGTTCCGCCTGACCCGTGCGGGGCCGAACGTTTGGCAGGTAGAAATACACACTGAACCACACACAGAAACATAAACAACAGATGCATGGATCGACGGTGAGAAGGACGAACTAGGCCCAGCTGACATTCATCCTCTAGACCAGCGGAACGTTCAAGCACTGACGATCGCAGTAACGGTGGCCGTCTGCGACGCGCCAACCACAGTTAGTCGCAAGATTTGGGGATCAGCCACGAAGAAGGACGGTAAAGAAGCGACAGCCAGCGCACAGAAAAGCAACTGTCTGGTTAATCGGTGGCAGAATCGTTGCATGAAGAGCTGAAGGAACTTGAGCAAGGAGCGCCCGCTAAACACTGACCCAGTAGCTGGCCAAACGACTGACCAGCTGAATTACCACTTAATAATGCAACGCACGTTTACAATGCGTAGTAATCTTTCTCACGAATCCAAATTTGGTCTATTGTTCAATTACAAATGATGTTCTAGTACTGAGAAATAGAACTAATTCTGCTAACTTTTCAGCACTGCAATATTACTGTTTATACCGGCGATTTACGGGAAAAGTCTCCCACAGTTATTGCGTCCGTTTTTTAAAAGTCACAAACAGTCAGTACAGAGCCGTTGAAATAACAACTAGCAATAAAAATTAAGCTGAAACAAATGCCGAGCTAAACGCTGACCCACTAATCCACCTGGCGGCGGCCACTGCACACACCTGTTAGCGATTCTTGTTTGTAAAGAATATATCTATATAGAATATTGCGAGTAGCGACAAGTGTGAAAATAGCAAGAGATGGTTATATCCCTAATGATTACCTTGAAATGTAAGGTATTTGTGGGTTTACAGACGTCTCGACACGATCGTAAAGGCGTGACTGGCCGATTTTGACCTATGCTTAGGTTGCAATAGTGAACGCCGTATGAACCCTTGACCGCTCGTCCTAAGCCAAACAGCTTTTACCTATATGTATCCATGAAATAAGATTGTACCTATGGGGGTACGGGTGTTTTTGGGGGAGAAGGAGCAAGTGATTCTAAAAATCGCCATGCAATAATTCCCGCTATGAAAAAAGCACGTACGAATAGACTATCCGAACGAAGTAGAGTAACAAAATGGATAATAGATAACAATAAAACCCGGATAGTAAATTAGACGCAGGAACACGTGGAGTCGAAGGCAAGCATTCTCAAATGGTTGTTTACGATTTCTTCGTAGTAGTAATCATTCGTTATGTCTATTTCCCTTAGTTACTTGGCAGAATATCAATCTAAATATAGCTGATATTCTAGGCCATTACCGATGAGGCAATCGTACTCCTCACAGCCCATCAAATGCACACTGTCCACCGACTAAAAACTGCTTCCGTGCTAGAGGTTTATCAGATTGCTTACGTTAACCTTATTCAGCTTCGTAATGACGGCGAGTCTGTTTACTTTCTATGATAAGTTATCCTATTTCGCAACATGACATCCTGCCATGAAATTTTTTTGTATGTGCTGCTCAGTGGGTTTTGCGTACGGGAACGATTGCAGTATTCGATTCTGTTTATATTCTTCGTTCGGAAAGGGTCGGAGCGTAGGAGTCTGGAGGAATTTGGCCCCATTATCATAGAAACTGGGCGTTGGCGCGTCAAACATGATGTTGATGAACAGCAACAAAAGGAGAGTGATCACAAAAAAAGCACTGTCGCATCGCTAGTTAGCATCGATACCAGAAAAATTGCCCTTGATAATCTTTAAATTTGCACCATTTTGCATAGCTCATGAGAAGCTTCAGCGTAAATCTTTTTCACGTAGGTCACAAGCATTGCGTCTGCACAAGTTAAACTAGAAACAGGTAGAAAAATGCTGTTCCTTATAGAAGACTGTATGCTTGAAGAGACAAATACAGTAAACAAGTAGCTTAACTTTCCTTCTAATCGGATGGCTCAAAACTGCAAAGTTTTTATTGAGATCTTCTTTTTAATAAAGCGAAGATTTTTCGGAGCCTAGCAGTCATTTTTTCTTGTGGTTTTTTAGGGTTCATCTTGTAATCACAGGTCTCAGTATGTGAAAAAAAGGCCACAGAAACTACCTTCAGGACCGATCTAAAATTGTCTATAAAGTTTTTTCTGTGCCGCTCAATTTAAGTGAATTTTCAAACGATAATAGCATGTGTCGCAGCATATTTTTTACTCTACCATAATATTTGGAATGGTTGCTATTTATTTGAACAACAACTTCTTTCAATCAAGAACAGAGTTGCTCCTTGTAGATTCTGGGTCTAACACTACTTCCTATCCATGTTTTGCCCGATGTTTTCCGTATTTTGAAGTATTCGAAAGCTCTTTATCCTATATTTTGCAACTACTTGTACCTTCCAGTCAAGATGGGTACAACCTGCAAGCGGTTGTGATCCTTTGCATCTGTGGCACTTCGCTGTAAATATTTCAGCTGTACCCTCCTCACGTAAATTAACTTAATCTTGAAGTTCACATAATTTGTGCCAGCCATGGTGCCCACACCGGAATCTCAGGTAATTAATATCTCTAAAGCAATTGACCATTGACGATAGCTGGCGTTATAGTAAATACATGCGAAAGAGATGGTCGTAAACGTTCTTAAACCCCGAAATTTTTGTTACACTAGATGTTCGATAAAGCGCCGCGTAAGTCATTTCCTAACCTAGGCGGACGATAAAGCTGCCCGTCTACGTCGTATTCCAGCAAAGTTATCATTGAAGTTACTTGTTCATGCCCAACCCCATTTTTTTTCCATATTGTTATGTGGATAATTGTCGATTCTTATCGCGCCTTGAGGACAATAAGCACCTAGTTGGTGTTTCTTCGGATAAGGACTACAAGGGAAGTTTACGACGCGCAGTGGTGATGATGGCAACGTGTTTGTCTAGTGAACTAAGGAAGTTATTGAGATTCGAAACCGATTGTGAGCACACTTCATTTCAGGTCGGAAGCCGCGAGCCATCAGAGTCATTGATTAACCGTAGTGGGCATAAAATTCACTTCAATATATAGGCCTTCAGAAACAATACGTTAGTTCCACACTTCACCTTAATGTAATATTGCATAAAGGTGTCAGCTAAGGTCAACCTTGCGCTTGGCCAGTTGTCCTCATTACAAATTTTCACTAAGATTTTCTTAATTTAATTGAACCTCACGAACCAAGAGCTTTCGCCTATTGTATGTGTATTAGTCCATATCGATCCTATTGTTCTATGTTGAAATACATAACTCAAAATAAATAAATACATAACATGTGGCTGTGCGTATATATAGCGTTCACGCTGTTCGACAGTGGACACGCATATTTGGACCTTTCGAGAAAGGAACGTAACTTGACGTATTATTGAAGACAAGTAAGTTGCTAGATGAAATGTTTTTGACATATCACACACAGATATTAAATACCAAAACGATCTTACGCTTGGTGGCATTACCGCTTCTGCTGGTGTCTATCTGTTAGATGATTGTGTGATAGTAATGAAATGCTTTGAAAGGGCCGCGTTTTTTCGGGCAGTTTCATACGTTCCGTTAGTAGCTATAGCAGTTCCGCGTACTGGTTTCTATACGTATATGATCGTTACCTTTTGCTAACATGCTTAGTCTTAAACTAATTGAATTACCTAAGCCGTCATTGGTTGTGCATAGATACGTTGTACGAGTTTTTTTAGGATAATAACATTAGATGTCCAAGCCGTATCATTCGGAGTCACCGAAAATCGCCATGGCGCAGCTGCTGATCATCGGAGCGCACAAAGCGTATAGCTCGAGTTGGGTTTGTTTGCTAGATTTTGTGGTTTTCAGTTGACGTCTGCCCAGCTATACAGAACCCGTTTGCAGTAAAACGTGTCTCCATTTTCGTTACCTTACACAGCATCGAACCCTAATTACAGAAGAATGGATGGTTAATGGTGACCATGTTACTTGAATCTCTATGACGCGATTATATAAACATCGTTAATCTATCCGGCCTGTGTATTAGTAGCATTGCAAAGCTTCAATGTCTATCGTTAAGATGAAATTCAAAGAATCCGTTGGGATAGAACACAATGGTACGATGCCTGCCGACCGGGATTCGGAGAAATGGCAGAAAATGTTTATCCGAAAGCAAACTAATGCTTTGTTTTATACTCAGCACCGAGCCAACTCAACGGCAGTGAGGAAACCTAGAATCACAAATACCTGCCCTTGGTCAGAGTATTTTATTTTTTTAAATACCTATTAATTTTCTTCGTAAACACCAACTTTATCTAAACATTGATCGTACTTCAATGTGACTATGATCCTGAGTTCCGCCCCTAATAGAGAACGCCAAAAAATTAGCTTTGTACTGAGCTACTGTTTTAAGGCCGTGTGCTGTTTATTTATCCACTTTCGTTTTGACTTTTCAATATGTCTTCATCCACCGTAACAGCATAACTCTATGACCGAATTCGATGGATCAATCGCTCATATTAGCCGCCGGTATCGGTAAGCCCATCCAGCCAAGGCAATAGCTTTAATGAATCGCTATCGAACGAGGACTGAGCGAGCACAATTCGATCTTGGTCGTAGTAATCCTCATGCATTACTCTTCGCGCTCTATCTATTTCAATCGATCGAAATAGACACTCGTCATGGTTGATAGAGACATTCCTGTCCGTCAATTTTTGTACCGCAATGAAAGGTACGGTATTCGATAGCAATTGCTTCGTGCTGTTACGGCAGACTAGATAGGGACTAACAATGAACCTTCGACAAGCAGACCAAGTCGGTCGTCATCATGTACTTAATGGCGT